AGGGATTATTAGTTTGCAGGTTTGTTAAACGGCAAATAATTTTAAAAACGTCTCCTTTACACCCATATTAAACTCGATTATATTAATGTAAAAAGCCTTCAGGAGTTCAACAAATGCAGATTACCTATTCTGAAACTTTTCCTTTAAATAATAATCCTCATGGATTTTATAGCTCAATGATGAATTCTTTAGGAAATATTTGTGGGTTTATCGGATCAGTAAGTAATAATTATGTTTCAAAATAATGCTTCTATCCATAGTATTTACATTAATTATTTCATCTGTATATTTAGATTCCATTTTGTTGTTGCTGTTGCTGTAATCCTTATCAAAAGGTTATGCAAGGAAATGTTGGGTTAATTTCGCGTTTCGGTACGCAAATATTATGTTTATTTGTGCATTTATTCGAACTGTATGTTTTACTAATTATATGTATGTTTTTCAGGTCAATTTTATAAAATTGTTGATCCAGGTTTGACTACAGTGAATATTGTGACTGAAAATCTAATTCAAGTCGATATGAGGGTAATTTATTTTCTAAAGTATCTGCATGGTTTCTTTTGTTAAATATTCATATTAACTTACAACATAACCAATATATTTATTAGATACAAATTTCTGAAATTCCCAGGCAAGCCATCATGACAAAGGTATATTTTATGTCCGTCTGTACCGTTTGGTTGGTGTTCCATATTCATTAATGTTAATATACATTAATAAATATACAGGATAATGTATACATCCATATAGATTCTGTTTTATATTGGCATATTATTGACCCTTATCAAGCTACCTTTGGTGTCACTAATGTTCGCAAAGCTCTCATTGACCGGTAAATATTTTAATTCAAGAATAATATGTTATTTAAATACATATTAATTTTTAAATTTCACAGTACTCAAACTACGTTGAGGCATACTCTTGGCGCTCGTGTTCTTCAAGATTGTATCGAAAGTCGTGAAGCAATTGCTTTTGAAATAAAAGAAATTATTGATGAACCTGCTCACGGTTGGGGCGTTAAAGTAATTATGTATTCTTTATATGTAATTATTCTCGGTTATTTTATTTTAACTAATGCAAATCTTATAAATTTTATTAAGGTCGAAAACATCTTGATTCGTGATATAGTATTCTCTAAAGAGTTACAACAAACTCTTTCTTCCGCTGCTCAACAAAAAAGAATTGGTGAAAGCAAAGTTATCTTGGCTCAGGCCGAAGGTAAAATGCTTTTATTTATTATAAATATTAATGATTCATTAAATCATAAATGCTAACTAAATTTACATATTAGTTGACTCTGCTAAGCTCATGAGGCAAGCCGCCGAACTCTTAAACTCTCCTGCTGCTATGGTACGCGTTATGAAAAATATC